GGGCGGGCAGCGCGGCCGGAGCCCGGGCCAGCCCTCGGGGACCCCGACTTACTGCGTCTGCCGTCTTTTCTTTTCTCCCCTCAGGCCCTCTGCCCGCCATGGCTGCCACGAAAACTTCGAACTACGATGACCATTTCAGGCCAGAAAAATTAAAAGAATGGCCAGAGCCCGAGTCCGTTTCCTTAATGGAGGTAAAATCGCGCGGCATCTCCGGACGTTATTCCGCGGCGGGAGGGGAAACCCCTGAGGTGTAGACTGCTGGGCCTTCATGTACTTCTGTGGCCAGCGTTGGCACAGAGCCTGGTGTAGACCGGGGGCTCGGGAGAGTTCATTGACTAGGGAATGACTTGGGATGGAACATGGGACGAGCTTGGCCAAGAGTGTCCCCAGCCGCCAGCCCGAGGGACAGGAAGCTCACAGGGCCCGAGGATGGGTCCCCCAGCAACCCAGAGCTGGCCCTTCCGGAGAGGGCAGGTCCTCATGAGGCCGGGTCTGGGAATCATAAAGACAATTTCTTTGTTTTGTATGATCTTGTGGTTTGCCTTGTGAAGAAAAGCTCTTGAAATTTCCCTTATTTTGTCCCCTTTGTAGTGGTGGCAGTAATGAGAGGCTTGATTTTTGTATGTGGGCACACAGAAAGCTGTGGATCTCAGATGTGCTCCCAATCAACATCTCCCTTATATTTTCTAGCAAAATCTCCAAAGGAACCATCCAAGACAATAACAATTGCTATTTTTTTCCCCTAAGAGTTTATTTCATGAGTGAGATGAGAAAGACAGGTGAGAGACAGCACCCTAACAATCATCCACCGTCAGCTTCAGGGAACCCTGGATCACCGGCACTCTTGTGCCCGGTGTACTGAGGAAGACCTCTGGAGACAGCCCTGACCTTCCCACGTGGGACAGATACTGTTGAACCAACCCAGGGTCCCCCAACACTATTTCTATAAACAAATAAACAAAAGTTGTTTGAAAATCTAACCAATAACCAAGATTGTATAGAGCATTTGCTAATCTTACCAGGATGGCTAAAAATGTGGTTTCCCAAGATGCTTGCCAACATCTATGTTTTACTTCCCTTAATAAATAGACTGATATTAAATTTATATTGTGTCAGGGAAAGATTTAGTAGTTTTACCTATTTTTTCAGTTGACATCTTTTTTCTTAGTTTTTTGCCATAGGGCACATGCACTTACCAGAAGAGACAGAGAGAGTCAGGAAGAGAAACTGAGAAACCACTTTCCAGGGGGATGGCCACAATCCCTTCTCTCTCATTCTCTCAGGATTTTGGGCACACATATGTGCTGGGTGTGATTTTCAAGCCACCGAGTCTGGGACTTGAACCGCAGTTAGACGTGTGAGAGTCCATGACCTTAACAGCCCTGCCACCTGCTAGTCCCAGTTGACTTTTTTTTTTTTTTAAAGAGGGATTTTTGCTATAGAGCACATGCGCTTGCCAGAGAGAGACAGAAAGTGGGAATTCACCCCATTCCTCCCTGGTATGGGGGGGTGGGGGGGGGATGGCCACACTGCAATCCCTTCTCCTTCATTTTCCTCTAGGGATTGTGGGCATGTACGCACATACATCTGGTGTGAGTTTTAAGTCACTGGGTCTGGAACTCGAACCATGGTCGACTACATGGGATTCTATGTGTAATCATTATGCCAATTGCTGGTCCCACAGTTGACATCTTAAAATAAGTCTGAGGGAGCTTGAAGGTGACATAGTGATTAAGGCTCTGAACTCCCATGTAGTGCACCAAGGTTTGAGTCCTGGACCCGCTGGCTTGAAGCTCACGCTGGGAACGTGTGCATGGTGCCCAAAACCCTGAGAGGAGAAGGGGTTGTGGCATGGTCATCTCCCCTGTGGGATGATTTCTCACTTTCTGTCTCTCTATCTCTCCAGCAAGTGCACAAGCCCATATAACAACAATCTTTCAAAAAAAAAAAAAGTCTGAGAAGGCTGTTAAGCGAGATTCTGTTTATATATCAAAAGACCTTTATATTTTGGAGAAGACCCCAGTAAATATTTGAATATTATTTTAGGTTCCCTGTGAAGCTATTAACTATGTAGGTAAAAGTACAACTGTTTTGAGAGTTCTCTTACGGATTTGGTATTGGGATTGTGGTTTAGTTTGTTTTGGTGCATTCAGTGTTTCAGAGTACAAAGAAGAGCAGGAGACTGAATAACACATTTTTCATTAGAGATCGTTATTTTAGATAGCATTATATCTCTTCCAGATACAGTTTGTTGCCTTTTCATTTGTTCCTACTTAGTCCTATAAGAATAAAAATGAGATCAGTTCTAATGATTCAACTGAAAAAGTTCTAAAGTGAGGATTTAAGTGTATCAGCTTACCCAACTCATAAAGAAAACAGCTAATTCCTAGATGTGAGATAGTATCAGTAGGTGACCGGGCCCTGCCACTAACTAGCTCTGAGACCTTGGACCAGTTGAACTAAATTGAACTTGCTGTGGTTTTTACTTACAAAGAGACCTGTCAGAAGGCTGAAAACGTCAATTGTTCTCTAAAACACACCTCCTAGGGACCAGCAGTTTGTGTAATGGTTATGTCACTAGACTCCCATGTAGTCTACTGTGGTTTTTTATTTTTTATTTTTGGAGAGGTTTTTGCTATACGGCGCGTGCACTCAACAGACACAGGGAGAGACAGGGAGACAGAAAGTGAGAAATCACCCCCCAGGGGTGATGGCCATGCCACAATCCCTTCTCCTCCATTCTCCTCTTGAGATCTTGGCCGCACACGCGCCCATCATGAGTTTAAGCCACTGGGTCTGAGACTCCAATCGCGGTTGACTATGTGGGAGTCCAGCGACATAGCCATTACGCTAACTGCTGGTCCCTCGACTGTGGTTTGAGTCGCGCACCTGGTGGCTTAAACTCACACCGGGCGCGTGTGCGTGCGTTCCCAAGATCCCGAGAGGAGAATGGAGGAGAAGGGATTGCAGCATGGCCATCCCCCCTGGGGGGTGATTTTTCGCTTTCTGTCTTTCTGTCTCTCTCTGTCTGTCTGGCGAGTGCACGCGCCCTATAGCAAAAACCTCTCAAAAAAAAAAAAAAAAAAGATTGAGTTGGTAATTGTTGAGCCTGGATAGTGGGTTCATGGGAAATGTTTTTTGAAATTTTCCATAATAAAAAGTTACCAAATATGCTTTGAGATACAAGCATTAGATTAGCTAAACTATTGGTAAAATACACTGAATTTATCATTCTAGTTTGTTCCTTCAGGATTTATCTCCTAATTCCATTCTGTAATTTTAGGTATTAGCTAGAGAAGACATTGATGAAGCTGTACATGCAATATTATTTAGAGAAAATTACGTTGTGAAGGTAAGAGCTGGCTACAGATTACATATTTTTTTCTTTTTTTAAGAATTATTTCGGTGGGGGGAAAGGCATAGAAAGCAACCATGGATACCAGAGACAATGTGGGAGGAAGGTTGAACATGGCAGAGGGTTAGGGATAGGAATCAAGGATGACAAAAAAATAAATAAATAAAAGCAAAATATACAAGACATAAGAAATGGAAAATTATTTGTTGATAACATGTATGTTGATTGCTTGATTGAGCGAATACACAGTGTATTTTGGGTGGAAAATTCATTTTGTATACTATAATGATGTATAGTGAATTAATGTAAAAAAAAAAGAAATAGCAAAAAAAAAAAGAATTATATATTTCATTTCATTTAGTGTTAACATTTTTTAATTTGACCAGACAGAAACAGAGAGAGAAAGGGAATGTGAGAAAGCAAGCCGCCAGGTCCAAGACTCGAACCACAGTCAGCTATGTGGGAGTCCAGTGCCTTAACCACCATACCACCTCTGGTCCCCAGATTGTGTATTCTAAGTGTGTTCTAGGGGAGCAAGACTCATGCAGAGCTTCATGACCCACAGTGATGTCCCCCTGTTGAAGAGACTCTGTGCAGGGAAAATGAGGCTTATCTGATTTACTTGTTTCTAGTAGAGATCTAAGATTGTGCCACATCCTTGCAGGGTCACTAAGAGGTCCCGGACCCTGCTTGCATCTGTCCTTAAGGAATATGACTTTGTTCTTACTGCTCAGCCTCTTTGTCCTGGTACTGAATGGAACTTCTTTCCTAGTAAAACTTGCCTTTTTTTTCCCCCATATGTTTTCACATTGCAATGAGGATATGTATATAATCACTAGAAATGAATTATTATTTAAGGGTAATGAAAAATCAGTAACTAATAGTTACTATGGAATGAACAAACTTAAGGGGGGGTTTAATTTTAGTGAGAGGGATTGAAATTTGGTGTTATACTAATGCTTTCACATTTGTATTGTGGTTTACAATCTGTAAAGAAAGTGTACATGTGTCCTCATTTGAGTATCAACAGCGGTAGGTGGGATTACCTCAGACCAGAGAGAGGTGTCCAAACAGGCCTGCTGCTTTTTCTGCTTTATCAATTTTGTCACAGACTTCCTTGATAATGAAGACTAGATATGGAGTGGATAACCAAGGAATGCTCTGAAATCCTCAAGAATTTCATGAGTTCCAGTTTAATTGGATTCATGAGTTAGATGCAGTTTAATTCGAAGGTGTGGTTGTGGTTTAGAACTTTTTATGCATGCCAGGTGGCATGGTGGTTGGGGCACTGGACTTCCACGTGGTTGACCATGGTTTGAATCCCAGACCTGGTAGTTCGCTTTCTCTCTTTC